TCTCTAGGAAAAATTCGGCAGAGCTTCGCTAACAAGGTTTCGCACAAGGAGGAGTGCCCGGCCTTGGGGTATTTATAGGCGCTGGAATCCGTGCTTGGGCCTGGAAACCGGGCCTCCGGATGGACCGTCATCATTACACGCCGTGTCTTCGCCCAACCGGTGACGCCGCCCACGGACAGCCAACCATCACGCACCACGTGTACCCCCCAACGGCTATATCCTAACGTTACATATTCCAACGGCTATATTTCCAACGGCTATATTCTGGGAGTCCCCGTATTTTCTTACTTCACTCCACTTCATCAAGGAGAGCCTCCGGGTACACTTACCCAGAGACGCCCCCGGGTTGTGCCCCACACAGTACATAACAGTCGCCTTCGGGATTACTCCTTCAGAAGTCCAAGGCTTCATATCAGGCCACCCCTCGGGGATTCCCCCTCAGTACTGTAAGGGCCGGGTAGCCCCCGGGGAGTATGCCTCATTGACGGATAGCCTACGGCACACAGGTAATGGGAGCCCTCGGATATCCTCGTCACCAACTAATCAACAAACAGGTGACACCCCGGTAACAGTTCAACTACTGCCCTCATCCATCACGCCCTCGATCCCCAAATCGAGTGGCTCCCCTTCGGCACCTCCCAGGACATCAACAGCAAGCCTCCGGCTACTCAACACATGAGCCCTCAGAACAAGGAGAGCCTTCGGCATTACCATTATTCTCCATTTTTGACCAAGGTTTCACACTTTCGATTCATCGTTGGGGGAATTCGGTGCACTCTTTTTCCCTCATCAGGATTTTTTCCCCCAGGGTTTTTCCTAATGAGGTTTTTAACGAGGCATCCCCCCAAAATGAAACGAAAAGCGTCAGCCTTCGGCCCACAACAGCAGCGCAACTACTCTACTCCTTTTCACCACTTTACAAGTGCCTCAAGGAGTGTGGGACTGGAGGACCCCCTCGGGAGAATCATTAAATTACAAAATGGTGAAAAATTCCAACAAACGGCAAAGCAATCCCTCAAGCCCCGACATGTGGGTAACTGAGGGACTGCCTTCGGCAGGGACATGAAAGCAACGACTCCTCACCAACTTCAGAGATTACAACGGGACAACATCAAAGGGCAAACACAAATTACTCCTTTTCCCTCAGGTACCTTTCGGCAAAAGGAGTGAGGGACTCCTGATGGAGTATATGGCCCGGGAACCCCCGGCCCACAGACTCCTACTACACCAATAAAGGCCCAACCGGCCCAGGAAGCACAGCAGGCCCCAAATTACGGCGCCCCAAGCACTTAGCAGCCCACAACGCACACTGGGGAGCCTTCGGCCCCCTGGCCGAAGGCTCAAAACTCTCACAGAACGGGTTTTCAAGCAAACTAAGAAACTGGGAGAAAACGGCAGAAAACAGTAGCCCTCGGCACCTGGAGCCCTCGGCACCCAGGGGGTCCCCGGCACTCAGAGCCCTCGGCTAGTCCTCTACAGCCGAGGGCACCTCTCCCGACATAATATCCGCGCCACATACGTACAGATCACCGTACCCTGTACAAACGTCCCATCCAACCACCGCATTAAATGCGACCACATGCGGCTGCCAGCGCCAACTAGTTGAGATGACCTCTCGGCCAATGGGCGCTTGACACGTGTCCCTGTCCGACATTTATTGCTACTATAAATATCACCCCATTTCCCCATTTGTAACCAAGTCATAAACGCTGCATACTTTCTAAATACACTTTCTCTCTCTATACTTACTTGCTCTGACTTCTCTGTTGTTATTCCCTGCAATAACCCCCCGGATAAGCTACCCCCGGGTACACTATCCATCAGTTGTATAGAATACTCTAGAATTGAATTGTAGCCGTTAGATCAAGTAGATTTAAGCCGTCCATTGAGGAGGAGGACAAGTATAAATACCCCTCATGGCTGGCTCATTTGTATCATCGAAAGCTTGAGAGCAATAAAGCCTTTATACGAGTTTCTCCACAATCGGTGTCCTATTTTCTGTAAGAGTTAGGCTGACTAGCATAGTTCGAGTGAGTGTTGCTAGTGCTGCACAGGTTCGAGAATAAGTCCTTGACACCCATAGTAGGTGGGAGTCTTTGCAGCAGTGGGTAACGATGATAGATGAGCAATGTGGGCTTTATGCGGGCTAGGGAGTTGGGACTTAGCCGACTTTGTCCACTATGAGCCTCGCATATGCTCTTTAAATGATAACAACAATTTAATTGGATGCTTGCATTAGTAAGCATCTGTCCAACACTGCTCGGAATTGATTACTGGGCTTCTGCTGCAGTATCTTGAAGTTTTTCTCACAAGAGTTGATAGCTTAAGGCGGACGATGTCTTCAACAGGAGTTTAATAGGATAATCACCACTTATTATTAATTATCTGTAATTATAATTTGTACTTATCTTAGAGTGGTTTACTTGTATTAATCTTCTCAATTCTTATCTCCTGTAACAAACTCATACATGTGTGATTAATACACTATTTATAGCTGGCTCCTCTCATTCAAGAGAGTAAGTCTTGTTTGCTAATTATCCTTTATGGTATCACAGCCATCAATCAATTACGATTGAGCAAGATCCAATTTTTTTTCCCCAGCTCATCATGTCACCCTCCTCTAGTTCATCCATTGTTCCTGTTACTAGTGATGCCACACCCCAACTAGTCTCTCTTAATGCATCTTCTCAAATTCCAATCAAGCTCTCCAAAGATGGATGCAATTACTCTTCCTGGAAATCCCAACTCACAAATCTTTTCTTTGGGTATGACCTCTTGGGCTATGTCAACGGCACTTCTAAGTGTCCCGCCTCCACTGACCCCATGCATTCTCTATGGGCTCGTCAGGATCGCCTTGTTCTCTTGGCCATTCAATCTACCGTGGCAGTCAACATTTGCCCCATCATCAATTCATGTTCCACTTCTGCCGAAGCTTGGAAAAAACTTGAAAGCAGTTTTGCCAATACCTCCACGACCCGGATGTTATCTCTTCTTTCCACTCTCATGAATACCAAAAAAGCCGGCAAAACTGTTACAGAGTATATGAATACCTTGAAAACTCTCATTGATGATTTAGTGACAATCGGTCACCCTCCCAGTGATGGCCAGATTGCATCATATGTCTTATCCGGTCTGGGAACTGAGTTTAAAGACCTGGTAGGCGCTCTTCGGGTGCAACCTGTTCCACCCTCCTTTGAAGATCTTCGTCACTTTCTTCAGGATGCTGAAATTTTAGAGGGTGAATCCAGTGCTGTTTTTGACGTCCCAATTACTGCTCAGTTCAATCAACGCCGTCAAAATTCTCGTGGCCGTGGTCGCGGACGGGGTCGAAGCACGAATTTTCAATCTCACCCTGGATATGGGTCTCACGCCCCTCAATCCTACACCCCAGGTGGTCAAACACGGCCAACCTCCTCTAGTCAGCACATTCAATGCCAATTATGTGAGAAATTCGGCCATACTGCTCGTATGTGCTATACACTCAAAACTAATTCTCCAAGTGCACATGCCACGTCAAGTGGTGATCCAGGAAACAACAACACTTGGCTGCTTGACACGGGAGCAACTCATCACATTACTTCTGATCTCAACACCTTGAATCTTCACTCAGATTATCATGGCACTGATTCAGTTGCTGTTGGCAATGGTAAAACTATCCCAATCTCTCATATTGGTTCTTCGGTTATTGGTTCACCTAATTCTTCATTTAAACTCAATAATGTTTTGTGTGCACCCCATATTAGTCACGATCTCATATCTGTCAACCAGTTCTGTAAACAAAACAACACCTCTATAGAATTCTCACCCACTTCTTTTATTGTGAAGGATCTAACCACGGGGGCATCCTTGGCTCAAGGCCGGAGTGAAAATAATTTATACACTTGGTCGAGTCTCTCTCCACAAGCCTATTCTATTTCTTCTGAGCTTTGGCATCAACGTTTGGGTCATCCGTCTTCCTCTACTCAACATCGAATAACCGGGATTTCTACTTCCAAGTCTATTTGTGATTCATGTCTTAGAGCTAAAAGTCATAAATTGCCTTTCACTATATCATCAATTAATTGTACTAGTGCTTTTCAGTACATTTATTCTGATGTATGGGGACCGGCTCCCATTATTGGTTTTAATAATTCTCGATTCTATGTTATTTTCGTAGATTATTATACCAAATATTCTTGGCTCTTTCCCATTAAAAACAAATCTGATGTCTATCCTGTGTTTAATAAATTTCGTGCCTTAATTGAAAATTATTTTGGTACGAAAATAAAAACCTTATACACAGATGGTGGTGGTGAGTTTACGTCTCTTGCGCCCCTCTTAACTACACATGGCATTCAACACCTTACCTCTCCTCCTTACACACCTGAACATATTGGTTCCGCAGAAAGAAAACATCGTCATGTTGTTGAAATGGCATTAACATTGCTTTTTCATGCCTCCGTTCCAAATTCTTTTTGGCCATATGCTTTCCAGTATGCCACATATCTTATTAACCGTCTCCCCACTCCCCTACTTAATCATCAAAGTCCCTTCTCTAAATTATTTGATGAATGTCCCAAATATGAATCTTTAAAAGTGTTTGGTTGTTTGTGTTATCCCTGGCTGTGCCCTTACACTACAAATAAATTACAACCTCGCTCCCGCCCATGTGTCTATCTTGGTTTTTCCGCAACCCATCATGCCCATATATGTCTAGACACCACCCAAAATAAAGTTTACATTTCTCGTTAAATTTTTTGAACATGAACTACCATACACTAAATATAAACCCAAATCCGCTCCACCATATACTCTTATAGATTTATTTTTTCGCACATCCCCATCTGTTCCAACAACCTCTCCACACTTATCTGACTCTCCTACCTTATCTCCTCAAATGATTCCTCTGCTCCCACGTGACAATCCCTCCTCATCCCAACAAACTCCTCCTAATCCACCCACCGGTACACACTCCCCTTTTCCCTCCACGTCTCTAAACTCTACCCCACCTAATAACTCTCCTCTGACCAACAACACCCCTCCCTTATCTCCTCACAAATCCCAGTCACCAAATACTTCCATGCACTCACCCGCCTCTCCCTCCCAAACTGACACCACTTCTCATAATTCCCCACACCACCCGATTACCCGTCAACCCAGCCCCCCCGTCACACGGTCCAAAAACCATATTTTCAAACCAAATCCTAAATATGCTCTCCACACTCTTATCTCCTCCGGTCTGCCCATTGCCCCTACCACATATAAACAAGCGGCAGCAATTCCAGAATGGCGCCAGGCCATGCTGGATGAGTTTCAAGCCCTTAAAAAAAATCACACATGGTCTCTTGTCCCTTCTACCTCCACACAAAATATTATTGGGTGTAAATGGGTGTTTCGGGTGAAACAAAATCCGGATGGATCAATTGCTCGGTATAAAGCACGTTTGGTTGCAAAGGGGTTTCATCAACGTCCTGGAGTTGATTTCACAGATACGTTTAGTCCGGTGGTCAAACCGGCCACCGTGCGGGTTATTCTTACATTAGCCATTTCACAGAATTGGCATATACATCAACTGGATGTGAATAACGCATTTTTGCAGGGCACTTTGACTGACCGAGTTTATATGCAACAGCCGCAGGGGTTCACTGATCCTATGCTTCCAGATCATGTGTGCCTTCTTCATAAAGCTTTATATGGGCTACGCCAAGCTCCCCGAGCCTGGTATTGTGAGCTTCGGACCTTTCTCTTGCAATCTGGTTTTCAGAATAGCAAAAGTGATGTCTCATTATTCACCTTTACAGCTCACGGCTCTATATTATTTCTCCTCGTTTACGTTGATGATATAATCATCACGGCAAACAATGCTCCTGTGCTCCGTTCCTTTATCACCAGGCTTGCTACTCGATTCTCTCTTAAGGATCTCGGTGCATTATCCTATTTCTTGGGCCTGGAAGCTATTCGCACCTCACATGGTCTTCACCTCACTCAACATAAGTACATCCGTGATCTCCTATCACGAACTCATATGCAAGATGCCAGTCCCGTTCCTACTCCTCTTTCGCCGGATGCTCCTCTGTCACTTTCTGATGGTTCTTCTCCTCATGACGCCACAGAGTATAGAAGTGTTATTGGTGCATTACAGTATCTTTCCTTTACACGGCCAGATATCAGTTTTGTTGTTAATAAACTTTCTCAGTACATGCACCGGCCCACAACTCGTCATTGGGAAGCTATCAAACGTGTTCTTCGATACCTAAAGGGCACTCCTCATTTTGGGATTTTTATCTCTGCACATACTCCATTAACTCTTCATGCTTATGCCGACGCTGATTGGGCCGGTGATATAGACACTCGCCACTCTACTTCTGCCTATGTTGTTTTTCTCGGCCGCAATCCCATCAGTTGGAGTTCAAAGAAACAATCCACCGTCGCCCGCTCCTCTACTGAGGCTGAATACCGCGCCATCGCCTCAGCCAGTGCTGAACTCACTTGGCTACGCAATCTTCTCCATGAACTTCGTATCACACTAAAACAGTCTCCTACTATTTTTTGTGATAACATAAGTGCCACTTATGTGTGTGTTAATCCCGTTCTCCACTCTAGAATGAAGCATGTCGCTATTGACTTTCACTTTGTTCGAGAACAAATCGCTCAAGGACTCCTCCGAGTTAGTCACGTTCATACAAAAGACCAGCTAGCCGATTCCCTCACTAAACCGTTAGCTCGTTCTCTATTTCTTTCTCACAGGTCCAAGCTCGGCATCCTACCAGGGCCGCTCTCGCTTGCGGGGGCATAATAGGATAATCACCACTTATTATTAATTATCTGTAATTATAATTTGTACTTATCTTAGAGTGGTTTACTTGTATTAATCTTCTCAATTCTTATCTCCTGTAACAAACTCATACATGTGTGATTAATACACTATTTATAGCTGGCTCCTCTCATTCAAGAGAGTAAGTCTTGTTTGCTAATTATCCTTTAGAGTTGGCACTGACTTGGGTTATACAATGATACATGACACATTTCAGGTGTAATTGCTTTCTAAAACTTGTGCTTATCTGTTGCTGATGATCCACCATATTGACCTAAAGTGTTCATCATGCATCTCGCTCCCCCATAGGAAACAAGTAAATGAGTAATCGGAAGTTGATGAACTTCACTTATCCAATAAAAAGAAGAAAACAAAATCAATATGCACTTTCTTATTCTGTAATATTCTAAGGTTGGTTTATTTGTTGTATTACAGCGTGCATCAGATTATTTATCCCCACATCTGAAGAATACTGAAAAGTTAATACAGATGCATAGCTACTGGGCCCATTTAGAGGCTAACCTGGGAAAAAATTTAATTGCTGCTGGTGGTGTTTGGGAAAACTTACTTAAGTTCTGGTAAGTATATTTCATCATGCCAGTTGAAGTGTTGCTTCATTTCCTATAAGATCTGCCACCTTGCTGTGTGTTGCAGTGGATCTATGCTAGACGCCTGGAAAGCCTATATATCCATGGAAATAGAGACGGGTCAACTGAGTAAAGCTAGGTCACTGTACAAGAGATGTTATAGCAAAAAATTCCCAGGGACAGGCTCAGAGGTAAATTTCCACGCTGAACTCTTTTATAATCATTTCTCACAATATATAAATTTTAATGGGAGTGATGTTAGTTTCCTTGCAATGTTCTGCTCATCTTTAGGATGTTTTTATTTGGACTGGTTTCAGTTCCGGACCAGACTTAAACAGGCCAGATCAGATTAAACTTTGGCAGTTGTAAAATACACTTAGAACAAACGTCTACCAGACCAAACTTAAATAGACCGGGGCGGACCAGCCAGACTAGAAAATTACAGTCCAATTAAAACATACTCAATCCTTAAAAACTTAAAAATACCCATAGATTAGAAATAGACATTGAAATTCAGTTTGTTGTAGTCATATACATCGATATCAGTAGTTCTTTAATCATTTTACATGTATATCAAGTCACTTCTCACTATGTGTGATATTGTTTATGTGAGTATGGTGTATCCACTTTGTGTCATTACAATTTCTAATCATCAATAATCTGTTTACATATTTCCTTAAATTCTACTCTTTCCGTTTTGCAAAGAAGTTCCCACTTTGACTGACTCACATATTTATGTAAGATAAAGTTTATTTCAACATTCTAAATATATACTCACTTTATTTCAAATCAAGCAAAAAGTAGGGGTAGTTATGGCATTTTATATTAAAAACTTCATGTTGGGACATCCAAAAAAGGGAAGTTGGAACCTATTTTTGGGACGGAGGCAGTATAAAAAAAGGTAGAAGATCAGTTGTTTGCAGTGGTTTTTTATATTTTTTATTCTTAGATCGCCGAAGATAATGAATGAATAGAAAGATAGCTTTTCTTTTTCCTATTCTAATTTTTTATGTTTATGCTCTTGCTGATGATATAAGTTTGTCACATGATGACTTGATGAGTTGGTAATCAATATGTAAATTTGGAAATAATAACATCTAGTTCCTTTAATGTGACATGACTGTTGAAGCTGTATGTATCCAATCGCATTGTCCAAATGTCATAGTTGATTAAAATCCATGCATTAGATAAAAAACTAAATCTATTTCCATCATTTGCAATGGAGCCAAAGATTCATTATTTTTTGGCTTGAGATTATGATGTAATAAAGCAAAATGGCTCACTAAACTGTCTGCGCTTCTTTGTTATGAAGCAACAGTCAGTCCATGCAATTTTGGACTGGATTTTCACTATGGGTCATCCGGAAACAGTCTCTCCCTGCTTTAGTACAGGGGTAAGACTGCATACATCCGACCCCCCTTTACCCCACCGTAGGTGGGAGCCTTTGCGGCACCGGGGTAGATGTAAATGAAATGAAATGAATGAGATAAAAACTAAATCTGAACACTTGCATGTGCCTTATTCTTGAGCTAAAAATGGCAAAAACAATTAAAGCAATTTTTAATTCTGGATATTTTATTTATTTTTTGTGGCTAATTAGTTAAGGCTTGGATGTTGTTGATGTGGCTAACTAGTTCTATGAACACTTGCTAAGAGCCTCAACTAGTTAAGGCTAACTATTTTTTGTGGATATTTTATTTATTTTTTGTGGCTAATTTTGTTAATTGGTGAAAACAAAATTTGAACAATTGACAAGTGCCTTATTGTCATGCCTCAAAAGTCTATGATGCATTTTGTGAAATTTCTTTTTAAACTATATCAAGCACAGTGAGTCAGTGACCACGTTGGAAAATGATAAAGCTTTGGTTTTTAGAGCTTATAATAACCTATAATGAATTTATAAGCTTTATTTTTTAAATACATATGAACTTAAAGTGACAACGTAATTTTAGATGCTATCTTGTGCAAAGTGTCACAAAAAAACTTCAAACGATTTTTGTTTCCAGAGATAACCCTATTATTTTACAAAAGAAAACACATTTTATTCATTATTCATTGATTTTTTAATTTGTTTATTTTTAAATATATGGAAAGCCCATGTCACTATTAAATTACAATACATCTGCATCAATACTAGATGTTTGTACTCTGTAGCTTTTAACTTGTTATCGTTTAGCTTTTCAATTCAGCGTGCAGTTGTAGTCTAAATTGATAACGATGGCTTAATATCTAAATATGAGTTCTACCTTGCTACTGTTGGGTTCGAATTTTCTATACATGCTGTGTATATTCCTGCTTTTCACGCCATGGTTGGATGTGAATTTACAGTTCCCTGGAAGACCTTGATTTTGCTGTGCAAAAGGTAAGTGGACGTTTCAACTATTTTTTCTGCTGTCATTTGGTTCACGTATAAGGTGTTCTTTCTGCTATATCAGGTATCAAAGTATCAAATATTAAAAGAATTTGTCAAAATTCTGAAAAGCAATTTAGTATTCTTGAAATCGATTTAATTTCAGAAGCACCTCACTCAGTGCTTCTGAAAATTTGATAAATCATTTTTTAAATAATTTTTTCCGTAACTCTGTCAAAATGAGGAAAAGGGGAAAACAAAGGCTATTGACTTGCTTGGTGCAATCAAAATGGATGTGGTTGTAGAAGAAATAGAACCAGCAGGTACAAGCAAGAAAGAAAAGGAACATGTATCGTCCGGAAAGCCAAAACAGTACACTGACCAGTGCACTGCATTTGTCTCCAACCTTAGCCCCAAGGTGTGTTCTCTATTTCTTTTTTATTTTGAGTAATTTCTTTTTGGGAGGAACATGCAATCTTCTTCACTTGGTTGATTGGACAACTAATCTGTTTAAAAATAATTGATCAGGCCAAATATGATGACCTACAGAAGTTCTTCAGTGATGTTGGTGGAGTTGTTGCTATTCGAATATTGACTGACAAGTTCACTGGAAAATCAAGAGTACTTTTCTTGTTCTCTCAATTCCTCCATCTCTCTCCTTTTGAAGCAAGCTCTTGATGTTCTGTATATGTGCATCATCCGGAGGCTTTGCATTCCATAGTTTATAATTTTTCTGTCTACAATTTTGAAGGGATTAGCCTATGTGAATTTTTGTGATGATGCACACCTGGTAGCAGCTCTGGCAAAGAATAAGCAAACACTGCACGGAAAGAATCTGAGCATTCTGAAGTCAGATCCTCCGCAGAAAAGAGGAAAAGGACTGGCCCCAAAAAATGGTTGGTGAAAGTTCACACAAACTTAACTTTAAAACATAAAATTGAAGGGAAGGAAAAAGAGACAAAGCCAGTTTTTTAATTTTACCTTGGAAAATACAAAAGTATTACTTCCTCCGTCCCGAATTGTAACAAGTTACTTTACGGTTTACGATGTTTACTGACGATAAAGCAAACGGATCCTTGTTCGCACTCAAATTATTTTTAGAAAAAAAAGCATTACATATTCAGAAACTACATTAAAAGCTTTACAAAGTCGCAAAAACCAGAATCAATTTTGATAAAAATTTGATATATAAAGTAAGAGATTAAGAGTGATCTGTGTTGACCAAGTGAATAGGAAAAGTATGTTACAAAATGGGACTGCGGAGTATTAAATTTCATTAAAACTTTTCAAAATATATACACAAATATTAGTATATTCTTAGTCTTTATATGATACCGATTTTTTTGGCATAAAATCTATGTTGTAAGAACTGGACCGGTAATTGACCTGACCAAATGATTGACCTGACCAAATAATTGATCTGACAAAAACTCAAAATAGAACTTACTATGTTTTTCTTTTCAAAATAGTCCTATTTGAAACATACCTATTTTTTCATTCTATTCTTACCCTTCCTTTAAATATGAGTTAATTAAATGTTTAATACATAATAAATTCGAAAAAAATTCAAAAATTCGTAGAAAAATATTTAAAAAATTTATAAAAAATTTATAAAATACAAATTAAAAAATAATTTTTTTTTTTTTTTTAAAAAAAATAATAAAAAATAGTAAAACTCCATAAAAAAAATTAAAAAAAATATGGATGCCTTTCCCACCACCTGTACTACCTCCCTGCACCACCATCCTCGGTCGGTGAAAAAAATGCCATTTTTTCTAAAAACTGCCATTTTTTCCTGAAAATGCCAAAAACATGGCATATTTCTCTTTGAGAATGCCAACATTTTCTTTGTTTTCTGCCATAAATATGACATTCGTAATGAACTTGGCATTTTTTCCCTTGGTGGCTGGAGGTGGTGGTGCAGAGGTGACAGAGGCGGCGGTGATTTTTTTTTCTATTTTTTGAGTTTTTTTTATTGTTTTTTTTTAAAAAATAAAAAAATAAATTATTATTATCGAAATATTTATATTAATTTTTTAGTATTTTTATGAATTTTTATTATTTTTTATTATTTTATTGTGAATTAAAACATTTCAATAGCTATAAGGGTATATTTGTCCAAGACACACATAATTAGTCCTATGAAAACATAGTTTATTTTTTGGTTCTATTTGTGCAAAGTGAGTGACTTTTATTCCTATTTTGATAATTAATCCATTTGTTTATGGAAATCAACGTGGTTTTTAAGATGTAGAAGCTCAAGTCTTTGGTAAAATAGTGTTTTTGCGTGTATTGTTTGCTTGATATATTATCCGACAATGTACCTTAGGTTCAAATGTAATATTTGTTAGGAAATTGATGTAACGTACCTTGAAAGTAGAACAACGGAAGTTTAAAATTTTTCCAAACATATCTTCTCTGATTACGACAAAATAACGAATGTAACAAAATAATAGATCTGAGTTAGAACTTACAGATCTTCCAGTATAGCGCTGATAATACTTGATCTTAGATTCTCAGGTATTCACATGATTACTCCTTCTCGAAAGAACGGTTAGATCTCCCAAAGGGAAAAGATAGTAAATAAACGGGTGATACTAAATCTAGAAAATTGGTCTACAAATTATGAAGTGTGATGATGTATTTAGACTAGTTCTAAACTAATTTACCAATCCGAATGAAATTCTTTCTCATTAATGAGTTCTAGTTCTATCATGATCTACACTTCATTATTATTTAAAGGAAAAAGTAAGGAAAATGTACTTGTGGTTGAGTCTGCTTTCAGATAGGATTATGTGATTCATTTTTTTTATCGAAGTGATTCATGTCTTTAAATTCCGTTATCATAAAAGGGTCATGCCATTAAAAACGCTTGAAGAAGAAGATTAATAGTAAATTCAATTTTCAAAAGTGCTCGGAAAATTAAAAGAAAAATACAAGAATGAGCGCCTCATCAAGATGACCTCCAAACCACGTTTGCCTTTAAACCAACTTTATTTAATTACAAATACATCTTAATTATGTATAATAAGTCTAATTTATTTTACTTAATTAATTCTATCAAATAGAATAATCCTTCATGATGAATTAAATATACTAATCTAATTAATATTTAACTCATCTTATTTTCAACATTATGAATTAAATATTATTTAATCCAATTAATAATATTTAATTCCTTAACAATTCATTTGGAATGTATAATCACTTCTTGTGTGATCCATAGGGCCTTATATATTAAGCACTAATCAAACTAAGTTCTTACCAGAATTCCTAGACGATTTATCAGACAATATTAATATATAAGGACGTTTGTGAGGACTATTCAAACTCCCTATAATATAAAGATCATAGTGATACAGTCCTTTCATTCAACGAACATTCGATTAAGTTTAGAACTTGATATTGTGTCTATTCCAATAACTTAGTCTCTATCTCTCATCTTTCTAGATGATACATAACAATTATATTTGATATCCAAAATGAATATATATTTATAGTGGCCAATGACTATGATCTAGATATGAGAAGTAGAATGTTCTCTCTTAATCTATTACGAGGAATGAATCCTTTCTTGGTTCAACTACTACTCCATGTGCTTCATGATGTACCCAACACATGACGTGTCTACCCTGATTAGAGTGCAAACGTTAGTCATGATCAAAGTACATCACTTCGCACATGTAGTACGTATTGACCTCAAGTCGAAGGACTATTACATTACTTTATACGCTGATAATCTCATAGACACATGAGCAAAACTTATTAAATGGTTTCTCAGTGAGTATGCAAATATTCTCTAAAATATGTATGTGACCATCATGAATTGCAAGAACTCATAGTTGTGAGTTCAACTATACTTTCTAAAGATATGATGCAGTCCACATATCAATCTTATCACATATAATCAATATCCCTTTGTTGATGATCATTGTGGGGCTATTTTAGGACTATGTTTTATCATATAAGTTCTCACCTACTCAGTAACAACATAAGTCCAAGGGAACATAATTATGAATAAAACATTGACACTTTTTAATATTCTCCTACGTAATATGTACATGTACCAAAAATTAGTTAGTTCTCCCTAGTTGTCTAGGGTTTTGCCGCTACTTTCACTGTTCACGTGGAAAGGTTGTTGTCGAATTCTGATTTCTACCGTCGTTATGGCGGAAGACATGGAGGAGATGTATGCTCAGTTGAATCTCAACGATGATGAAGAAGACGGGGTGGATTTGGATGAAGTTTTGGGAGATGAGGTGCGGGTTGAGGCACCGCTTTGCTTGGTCGAAAGGCTATTAACGGATAGGTCGATCAAGTTTCCCTTTTTCAGAGATACAATGGCTGATGTTTGGCGTCCGGGGGGAGGAGTGAATATACGTGAATTTGGAGAACGCAGGTTCCTATTCCAATTTTTCAATATTGTTGATTTTGAAAGAGTGTGGGTTGATGGGCCTTGGTGTTTCGACAATTCTCTGCTGGTTTTACAGAAGGTGGAGACTAAGTCTAATCCGGCCTTGATTCCTTTAACTCATATGGCATTCTGGGTCCATGCATACAATATACCTTTCGAGCTTTTCACGGAGAAAGTTGCTATAATCATTGGCAATCAGGTTGGTGCTTTTATATTAGTGGATGATAACAATTTTAAAGGGGGTTTGTACGAGTACATGCGTATTAGTGTCAATTGTTGTGGACTTCCCTTGAGACGTCGTGTGAAACTCAAACGGGCCGGTGTACCTATTTGGATAGATTTGAAGTATGAAAGATTACCACACTTTTGTTTCATTTGTGGTCTTATGAGTCACACGGATCGCATGTGTCCTAAACGTTTTGCATTTGCTGAGGAAGGAAAGGAGGAGTATAGAAGTTGGTTACGTGCTAGAAATAGAAGAGGGGGTTCGGGCAGGGGCAGTAGATGGCTGACTAATGAAGCAGGCCAATTTTTGCATGGGAGTCCTTTGAGTTCTATATGTTCGGGAGGTAGCGGTAATATGCAGGTGGAGGAAGGCATCGAAATCTCACAACAGGATGAGGGGGTTTCCACCAGAAAAAGGAAGTCCTCAGTTGATGTGGGGACTGTTGCGAGGTCTTCACATGAGAAGACTTTTATTTCACAAAATACGGAAGTTTACTTTCCAAAAATGGGGTAGCGGCGGGTTTTGGTTCCCAGACCCGACGAGAATCATGAATTGTTTTAGTTGGAACTGTCGCGGGCTAGGGAACCCGGCGACAGTTCAAGTGTTAGTGGACGTGGTCCACTTGAAGCGGCCGTCGTTGATTTTTTTGGCCACTTGGACGTTGTCCTCAATATCTCTGGCCAACTCCATCGCAATCTCCAGGTTGTTTGGCCGCAACAATCGTAAGGATCCCCGAATCGGTCCCTTCAGCCCGTTCATGAAATACCCCAAATAATGATCACCGGACAGCCCAGGAACCTGACTGGCCAACTGCACAAAAAGGTTATTGTATACTTCTATGGTTCCCAACTGTTTGGCCCCGGACAGCCGTTCAAATCGATTGCCCTTGAACCGTGAATCAAAACGGGCCACCAGTGCATCTATGAATTCCTCCCAAGTCAGGCTCGGTTTCCGTGCCCTCAACCAGGTCAACCCGTACAGGGCAGCCCCTTCCATGGCTACCGTAGCTGTTGCCACTTTGCTTCCAGGTAGGGTTTGATGAATTTCAAACTGTTGCTCAGTTCTGGCCACCCATCCGATGGGATCTTCGCCGTCAAACGAGGGAAGCAGGGCCTTAGCGGTGCTGCGCAACTCCCCGTCGACTGAATGAGCAGGTGCGATGTGCGTGGCAGAGCCGCTGTTGCTGGCCGATGTCGGCGTCTTCTCTGGCGGTGTTGGCATCTTCTCCGGCGGTATGATGACCTTCGCAATCGCAG